AATATTAAAAATATCTATTTAATAATTTTTATTTTATAACATAATATAATTAAATTGTAAAATATAAATCTCATCTAGAAAAATCTACACAAGCAACCAAAAAAAAAAAAAAAAAAGGTGGGGAAAGAACAAGACTTTTAACTGGGTGCACACACATGCCTATTACACACACAATGGCATCAACAACCAACGCCAATCACACAATCAACAAGCAGCAGTTTTATGCACTCTCTCACTAATAACTAATCACACGTTCGGCTAAATTTAACATACCGTCTGCTAACAGGTATTTCTTAATCAACTTTTGAGTAAAGATCATTTTAGTAACCATTAAGAAATACCATTAACTAATTTCTTAATTGACTATTCATTATCGATTGATGTGGATTGAGATATTATTGTGATCTCACTTGAACGCTCATTAGTGAAGATAGAATTGCTGCTGTTCGCGTTTTCCTCTACGGTTTCCTCAAGCTGCAATATAAACTCCAATGCCCCCACGATCTCCCTCATTGTTGGCCGTTCATTTCCACGTTCGCGCACACAATTCTCTGCGACCTCACCAAACTTCTGCAAGGCCATCGGCGTAATCTGGCCTATCAAATAAGGGTCCACGATTTCATCAAGGCTTCCTTTTTTATAACAATTAGGGGCCCATTGAGCCAGGCCCACTTTCTCCTCTGACAAGCCTTGGAAGATCGGTGGCTTACCACACAGCACCTCAAACAAGACCACACCGAAAGAGTACACATCAGATTTCTCGGTCAGTCGCTGCAAGCGATAATATTCTGGGTCTATGTACCCGAAACTACCCTTCACCATTGTGCTGACGTGGGTCTCGGCCGTGCTTGTAGGGCCCAGTTTCGACAAACCAAAATCTGATACCTTTGCCACGTAATTTTCGTCCAGTAATATATTCGATGATTTCACATCGCGGTGGATGATAACCTGCTTTGCCTCTCTATGGAGGTATTGCAACCCACGCGCCGCCCCAATGCAGATCTCTTGTCGCTGTTTCCACAATAATGGTAGATTCTTGGTTCCGTCAAGATAATCACGGAGTGTGCCACGTGCCATGTAATCGTACACCAGGATCATCTCGTCATGATCATCACAGTATCCAATTAGAGAAACAAGATGCCTGTGTCGAAGATTCGAAAGCATGGCGATTTCGGTATAGAACTCGTGGGCCCCTTGCCTTGATGAAGGGTTTAACCGTTTGATTGCAATGGTGGCAGTCCCATCATCGATAATCCCTTTGTAAACGTTGCCAAATCCTCCTCTTCCAATTAAAAACGTATCCTCAAAATCTTGAGTGGCCGCTTTGATCTCAGCGATTGAGAAGTGACGACAGAGATCGGACGGTACCGAGGAGGAGGTTCTTGTGGCAAACTTTGATGTGAAAGAGAGCGAGTCTTTTAGTTTCCTTCTCTGTAAAATGACGAAGCTCAAGAGGAGAGAAAACAGAGCAAAGCCACCGAGTATTGCTCCGATGATAGGCAAAATTGTTGATTTTTCTTCCCTTTGTAGACTTCCTGGCAGCAGTGACGGCGATTGAGGACTGGCGATTGGATTAGGATTTGGCCCTGCATCATTCTGATTCAATTTGAAAATCTCTAAGCCGTTCAAGAAAGCAGTGAGATATTGTGGTTTTTGTGATTCATCAGGATGCAAATCTAGCCGGAGTTCCCTCGCTTTAGCACCTTGCCTGGCCAAAACGATATAATCTTTATGAATCGGAATCCCAGAGCCATCAGCTATAGCAAATACGTCTACTTGATCCTCCGCCAGTTGATTATTGATGAATATGTTGAAAGCAACTTGATTTACTCTGGTGATCCAACTAAGGACGTCACAGAAATGAAGCCTAACGAGGTAGGAGAACTCTGCATCGACAGTGAAAATCCATGTCATGTTACTTTTCCTATTGATCCAAGAATCATTGCTCATCATACGTAAGGAAGTGTAAACCTCTTTCGGTGCAGTGTACTCCGGTGTGTCTGGGGTATATTTAATCGGTGAATCAGATAAATTATCGACTGGAACCCACTTTGATGCAACCAGATAACCCTCATCTTGATGCCATGTCCGGTACATTCCAGTATCATCCTTGTTCTCAATTTGCTTTCCACCAACATTGAGACGGTACATAGTCTCGAGAGCAGTGGTGTTATCCAAAGTGAAGGAACGGGTACCTTCTGCAGGCACAAGTGGGATTTCACTACCACGTAGATACAGGATGCTTGGCATGGAAACAACTTCGATGGCGTTAATGAAAGCGAAAGAGTGCGGTGATGGAGTAAAGGTTACATTAAGCATCTGGCTGTCCCACACCGTGACAACATACTCTTTGATGAAGGAGCCCAGGGCGGGAATCATCGAAGAAGCACTGAAATTATTCAAGAGGGTGTAATGGTTGGCAGTAACGGAGAAGAAGAAGGTAGCTGCGTCAAGACCAGAATATGTTTCTGGATAGAAGTAGAGACGGACAAATTTTGGACCAGAAAGCACGGGGAAACTGAAAGTAAACTTAGAGCGAATGATAAGTGCGGAGGGATAGGGATCTTGGGGAACAGAGCGGAGTTGGCTGGAGGCGTAGGAAGAAAACGATGCGTTTGGGTTGTTGAAGGGGGAATATTTAGAGTAAGGATCGGCCTCCCAGTTGCGGCCATCCTGTGATACAGTGTTTGAAGTTGCACCGCAGTCTAGGAGTATGATGTCTGTGGCGTTGTAACCAGCGGTAGCGGCGGCGAAAGGAGGACATGGAGGAGAGAGATGAGGAGAGTGATGAGTGACAGCGGATTCATTTTGTAAAGCAGATTAATCCTGTAGCCTAAAGCCTTTCTTTAATTAGTGGCATTCTGTATAACTCGGGGATGGTTGAAAAATCGTAGAATAGAATGGGAGATTAACGTTTATCATGTAGTAGGACTTTTCTATGGTAGAAGTTAATGGTGAGACTGATTGAAAGGAAGTGAAATATGCTCTGAGGAAGAAATTTCAGGGAGAAAAAGTGAGGTCAAGACCAGCAATGTCTTTGATTGAATTCTATGGGGCCTGGCTCAATGACCCAACCACTCTAATGCCAATGACATTAATGTTCCTTTGATTATCACTTTAATTTATTTTTTAAAAGCAGAACTGAAAATTGACTGGTCACTTTAATTTGTCTTCAGTTTCTCGGCAACATCTATTTTTTCACATGTATGATGGTCTTCAAAGCAACAAAACTTTAGGAAAGCTAAATAAAAAGCTTGGGATTCAATTGTTATCCTGGATCCAGAACATAAGAAAAGATAAAAAAAGAAAAGAAAAGAAAAGAAAAAAAAAAGAAGACTTCTTTGGAGACTTTACATGAAATCCCTTGGAAGCATCCAACTTAATGCTAGGAAAGTCTTTCTTCTCCCTCGGATGAGAATTACGTTGCAGTCAGCATTGTGGTGAAGGTAGCATCAGATATTTAGACTCAATTCATTATAACTATCATAATTATATATTGTCATCAGGGACAGGGTTACTGTTCTCATCACGATGATCGTTGTCATCACCGTGATCATCGTTTTTATCGTCATGATAGACATGATATTCTTTTATACTTTGCTTGGCATATTCATCAAGGGATATGTCTCAGGGAACACCTCACCCACCCTAGCATTCTCTTTGATGGTTGTGATTTTTCCTAAACTGTTGGATTAATCTTTGTTCATCTGTTACAGTAAAAAGGTCAACATACAACACTGAAAAAAATAATTAAATGAAAAAAATATGTAAAGAGAAGATTGAAGGGTATGCATATTGCTGAAGAACTTTTTTCCTGCTTAAGTGTATGTATTATCTAATATGTCATTTATCAAAATTCATTCTATTAATTTATTTGTTAATTCTGGTCGATCAAGATTCAAAAACACTTTGGTACTACTGTTGTCTCTCCTGGTGAGGAACTAAGACGATGATAAACAAAAACGAAAACTTTACCAAAACGACTAATCATTTATAGTGGAAATTGCAACTTCATAATCAACAAGAGGCTGTAGCCATCTAAAACTAGTCAATATTCATACAGGATCTACAATTGAGTAGATAAGAAATGTGGTGAAACCCATATGTGCCTTAAATGATGCTGTTCAGTTTTGCCTTAAATGATGCTGTTCAGTTTTGCCTTAAATGATGCTGTTCAGTTTTGCCTTAATGATAATGTTCATGACTGCATGAATCACACCTTACAGGTGAGTTTTTTTTTTTTTTTCCTGAAATTGCACTGCAATTTGCATTCTAATTTGAAGCAATAAGTTAATCCAAATATCAAGTGTCTCTTCAGCTACTAGCATGTACATATGATATTGAAGCTGCAAACATGCAGGCTCTTATTCACCAAACTGAGTGGTGCTGCGTGACATGAAGCACTTATGATTACATCCTAAAGAACTTACCTCACAGAAGTTCATCAATGAGCCGTTAAAGATAAAAATTTCACTCTGTACCAGACAGCACTAGAATACAATAAGAATCAACTTTTGTGAAACTTTCAGGTTGAAATTTAAAGCTAATTAAAATTGTAGTCCTTTACCATTGTTAGCTAATGATTCTAAGCTTTCACTGTTTTAAATTTTAGGGACTCTGCTGAAGTAGAGGCTGAGCAAATAATGCTTGAGGAAGTTTGTTTGGACTTTGGAGATCGAGTTTGCATTTTGTTTTGTAATTTTTATGAGATGGTTTAAGTGTTGTTTCTGCATGGCAAGCTAATTTTGAAAAGGGAAATAATTGGTAAACCCTTTGACTCAACACATTTGCATACACTTGTTGGTTCAATCACGCATTAAATTTTACAGTGAAAATTTTTCTCACCTTGAATTCAAATTTGAAAATAATTGATTGACCTTAATTATCAATTAGATCAATACAATGAATGTTGATAAATGCCGATATGATACCTACTCTATAGCAGGAAAAAAAATTTCTTCAGCAATATACATACTCTCCAATATTGTTTTTGCATATCTTTTGCAGTTATTTATTCTTTTCAGCGCTGTATGTTGACATTTTTACTGTAACAGATGAACAAAGATAAATCTAAAAGTTCTGGAAAAATCACAACCAACAAAGAGAATGGTCGGGTGGGTGAGTTGTTCCCTGAGACATCCCTTGAAGAATATGCCAAGCAAAGTGTAAAGGAACACCATGTCAATCATGATGATCACAATGATGATCATCATGAGAGCAGTAACCCTGATAACAATATTATGATAGTGAAGTTAGTTATAATGAAGATGTCGAGGATGGTGAAGAAGATGAAGATGAAGATGAAGAAATTTTGAACTAAGATGGGTATTGGTTATTTTTCAAGATCTTTTCTTCTGTATTTCCCTAATCATTGTCAATAAGTTGCAGCACATAACTTATTTCTTCCCCTTTATGCTGTGGTAGGTGGGATAGAATATAATATCATATTCTAGGAAATGATAAGAGTCTCTTTGTTGCGGGCAATGAAGATGATGATCCCTTCAGTTCAGTCCAAGTCTAATGCAATGAACTTTACAGAAAAAGTATGTTGCTTCACCTCGTCATTTATACTTTGATGAAGAAACCTTGGGGAAGACACCATCACAATCCCCTTTTGCCAAGTTTTCTTTTCTGGATCTACTTGTTAACCGCCCTCTCTAACATAAATCAAGTACGTCCAGTTCATGTGATTCACCTCTTTTGTTCCAAGAAGTTTCAATTCACTTACTTCTGTTGATTTTTTTTTCTTCGGAAAAAAAGGGCCTTCTGTAACCTTGCTGCAGACAGTTTTCTCTTTTGGTATTTCCTGATTAAATTCCTGTCCACTTGAAGTGTCCGATTTTTTTTCAATTCTTTTGAGTTTTCACTTTTGGTACGCAAGAGTAGCAGCTCATTGCTTCAGCTGCAAGTATGCAAGCTGTTTTGATCTTTCAAAGCAATGCTCAAGTTAATGTTCTAGTTAATGGCTATGGCACTCTGGAGGAAATGTTTTATTTGGTACGTTGTTGGTTGGAGAACCTTTGTACAGTAGAAGACACTTAACGGTAAGATTGATTAAAAAAAAGTGAAGTTGGATAGTGGATGATATTTGGAA